GGTGGAAAATGAATGTGATAGCAAGATAAAGGCAATAAGAACTGATAATGGGACCGAATATAAGTGAGAGCAATTTGACAGATTTTGTGAAGAAGTAGGGATCTAGCACCAACTGACCATCCCTTATTCTCCCCAGCAGAATGGAGTATGTAAAGAAAGAATAGAACCGTAATGGAGATGGCTAGGTACTTGATGCTTGAGAAAAACATACCTCATGAATTCTGGGCAGAGGCAGTAAACACAGCAGTGTATTTGCTGAACAGGTTGCCAACAAAAGCACTAAAGAAATTGACTCCCTATGAAGGCTGGAATGGAGTCAAACCGAATGTCAATCACTTCAAGGTATTTGGGAGCATTTGCTATACTCATATACCTAGTGTCAAGAGGGATAAATTGAGTCCTAAGGCTAAAGTAGGTATCCTGGTTGGTTATTGTGATAATGCTAAAGGGTACAGGGTATTCAATCCACGAACCAAGAAAGTGTTATCCAGCAGAGACATCAAAGTTGATGAAAGTTTAATCTGGAATTGGAAAGAAAATAAGGTTGATAAACCTCAAGCTCCAATGCCTGTGGCTCAAGAAAATGATGATATTCTTATCAATGATGTTGAACAAATTGAATTAGAACCAGAAATTGAACCAGAAGTTGAACTAGAGGCCGAACTAGAGGCCGAACCAGGTGCTGAATCTGACTCAGAAAATGAGGTACTGAGAACCAGACCTCTTGCTGATATTTATGCAAGATGTAATGCAGCCAAACTTGAACCTTCAAACTTCAGTGAGGCTGTAAATTCTTCTAATTGGTTAGCTACAATGAAGGATGAAATAGGAACGATTGAGAAGAATGAGACTTGGCTGTTGGTTGACAAGCCAAAGCACAAAAATGTAATAGGTGTTAACTGGGTGTTCAAGACCAAATTAAACTCGGATGATTCAGTTAACAAGTTCAAAGCAAGGCTGGTTGTTAAGGGTTATGCTCAGCAGTATGGTGTCAATTACACTGATACCTTTGCACCAGTATCAAGGTATGAAACAATCAGACTCCTTCTGGCTATAGCTGCACAAAGAGGCTAGAGCATTCATCATTTGGATGTTAAATCAGCTTTCTTAAATGGATGGCTAGATGAAGAGATATATATTGAACAACCAGATGATTTTATTGCTGCTGGAAATGAAGGGAAAGTTTATCCATAGAAGAAAGCTTTGTATGGGTTGAAACAGGCACCAAGGGCCTGGTACAGCCAAATGGATGAACATCTTTGCTGCCTTGGTTTTGTCAAGAGCATAAATGAGCAAACACTCTATGTCAAGCTAATGGAGGAAGATGTTATTGTTATTTCCATATATGTTGATGATCTGCTGGTAATTGGAAGGAATCAAAGCTCGGTTGACAGGTTGAAAGAAGAAATGAAAAGGGCTTTTGAGATGACAGATTTGGGAATGATGAGTTACTTCCTTGGAATGGAAATAAAACAAACAAGTGATGGAATTTTTGTAAGTCAAGGGAAATATGCTGAAGAAATTCTGAAGAAGTTCAGCATGGAAAATTGTCAACCAGCAAGCACGCCCTTAATCCAAAACCTGAAGCTGATGAAAGAAGATGGCAGCAAGACGATTGATGAAAAAGTGTATAGGAGCCTGGTAAGGTGTCTTTTGTATTTAACCTCACAAGACCAAACCTTACATTTGCAGCTAACATGCTCTCCAGATTCAGAAAAGAGCCAACTGAGTTACACTTCCAGGCTGCCAAAAGGGTTCTCAGATATATCAGAGGAACAAAAGAACTTGGAATCTGGTTTAAGAGTGCTCAGAATTGTGTTTTGTCAGGTTATACCGATAGTGACTGGGCTGGATCATATGATGATATGAAGAGTACCTCAGGGTATATATTCTACCTAGGATCAAGTCCAATTTGCTGGAACTCCATCAAATAAAAAATTGTGGCTCAATCTACAACAGAGGCAGAATATGTAGCTGCATCTGAGGCTGCAAATCAAGCTATTTGGTTAAGACAAGTTCTTGAGGATTTGGACTTTAAACAAGCTGAAGCTACTGTGATTTCTTGCGACAATCAATCAACGGTCGCAATGGTTAAAAATCCGGTTTTCCATGGAAGGACAAAACACATCAAAATAAAGTATCATGCTATTAGAGAGGCTCAAGAGAACCTTGAAGTAAAAATGATGCACTGCAAATCTGAACTTCAACTTGCTGATATTCTGACCAAGAGTTTGTCCAAAGAAAGGTTTGAAACACTAAGGAAATGCCTTGGTGTTTCCAACAAAAGTGTCAAGGAGGAGTGTTGATAGTCATGTGTCACTTTTGTTGTCACCTCACTTTGTAATAGTGCAATTATTATATTAGCTTATGTATGGTCATTTTTTGTTGCTTATCAAAGCATGGTCAATCTGCCACAAGGTAAGGGTAGTTGGTAGAATAGTTGGTGATTGAAATGTGATTGAAATCCTTTTGTAATATATAGCAAATCAGTCGATCATTAGCAAAATATATATATGAACTGAATAATCTTCCTCTTTGTATTTTTAAAATCTATCAAGTGTTCGTCAGAATATAGGTTTTAGGCAAAGTTATACACTGAAACTTGATGTATCACAAAAAAATTTCGATGAGATAATTGAAATGAAATAGGCAGAAATGGCATTATCATGCACACGAATTGGAGATTCATTTCGTTGTTACAGTTATGAAGCTTGTTTCAAAGATCCTTTGCATAGTAGCCCTGAAGCTCAGTTACATCTGGCAGTGCAGCAGTTTTGGTGTCCCAACAGGTAGAAAACAAAATACGCGCGTGCGCGCGCGCACACACACATATATATATTTCTCTGTATGTGACCTTATTTTGATAGGAAAGATCAAGTGTCCTAAGCATGCTTCTGAGTGTAGGTCCAGGCTTTTTTCCACTCGAGCAGATTCCATCTACAGTCCTTATTTCTTTCACTCAAATTGTCCCCTGTAGGCCAGAGGAATTTGTTTTTCAAAGTAACAAAGTTTTACTATGCTTTCAATCAATTTTGATGATTGGAAGACAGATTCATGTGATTTCTCATGTGCTAATGTTTTTGTCTGATGCTATGGTCCCCATCCAAATTTCTCTTCACATCAAACTTTTAGAGGGAAGGATTACCATAGAGAGCTATTCATCTATATACAGACAAATCTTAGCATCGAACCAAACACAAGTCCCTCAACAAGTAAAAAAGATAACATTTGTTATTCCACTATCATACTTGAACCAGCCTTTGTTTCAAGATTTATTATGTCAAGCTGAGGAAGAATTTGGATATGATCATCCAATGGGTGGGGTCCCACAATTCCCTGTTGCAAGGAAGTATTCATTGATATCATTTATCAATTGAATGTAATATAAAATCTGCTACTAGCTTAGTTTAGTAGTACACAATTTTGTAAAGAGGAGTTGTACATGTCAATCTAGATAGGTTGATAAAAGCTTCGGGAGGAAAAAATGTCTCTTCATGAAAGAAATTTTTTCTTTTACCAAATAAAAACGAAATTATGTCATTTTATTTCACATTTATATTTTCATTTTTCTGAATCGGAAACTTGGTACTTGGTAGGAATCATATTCCATGGGTTTCTCTTGTTAAATTATTCTGATGGACTATTTAGACGTACTATTGCATGTCCAACTCTGAGTTGTTGAAAAGATTTGGAGATCTTGTGGTGATCTGTGGCTTTAGTTTTGCCTTCTATATGAAGAAATGGAATTGCACCCAAAAAAATTCAACTAAATAAGTGTGATTGGAAATTGTAATAATGTTGTGAGAGCTGTTCGCCGTGGATAATATGTGGATAGAAATTTTTAAGTGTTCAGTGTGCAGTGAACCATTTTCAGAAGTTGAGTTGCATCGAATTATGAATATAGTGTCAAGTGGACTTTTGCAATGTTAGGAATCTGAGAAAGTTCAGTGATCCCCTTGGATCGAGCGTTTAAATAGGATTTTGCAACTCTGAATTTGCTGAACAAAGTCACTGTAGTATGATCCATGTATTTAACATTTAAGAAGGTCTATGGGAAGCCAATTTTATGGAACAAATATGCCTGTTTGTTTGGCATCCATCATCCATGCGTTTGAAATAGGCAGATCAAAATATTTTTTTATCTAAAAAATATAGATGTGTACATATTCAGTTAAATATGAAATCATTCTGTTTGATGTCAGCGGGGTTCTTTTGAGCCTATGGTAATGAGGGAATTATGTAATTTGAACCGTGTAAATGTACAAGTATAGAACTCCCTTTTCTTTTTCCAAGTTCCTAGATGATTTCTATTTACAAAATGTATATGATATGCAAAATTTACATTTCAAAATTTTTTGAAGCACTTCAATATCGTCAACCACGAAGCCTCACTAACGTGCAGTTCATATATCGAGTTCATGTCCGCATGTGCCATCTTATTGGATTAATGCTCATTTAAAATTTTAATATCACTGAAGCTAATTCCATTTACTCCTGCAGTTGTTTAGTCTGACAGGGAAGATTGGATCTCTGCTGGTTAAATTCTTTAGGGTGTTTAAGCAGGTAAATGTATTATTACTCCTAAGTTACTTGTCATTTTTTACAGAGAATTAGGTTGTCTGTATGTCAACTTAATTCAGAGAAACGTGTTAATTAAATGTCTGAACCTTGTACTCCTTTGCATTATCCGTTGATTGAATCAAGAACTGACCATCTAAACTGCTGTAATACATTTGATTTCTTAGTTGTAGCCTATGGTGTCAGAAATTGTGGGGAATATTGTTTCTGAATATGTGTGCAGTTAATTTTCATCACAAAATATGCTGATGCTGTCAAAGATTTAATATCTGCTGTTGTTTCTTTTAGGTACAATCAGTAGGGCAACTGCTTTGGAATTCCAAGTGTTACAAAAATTGATTATTATTTGGCGTGCGAACAAAAATAATAACCAATATATTTCTCTATATGTGGCCTTAATTTGATAGGAAAGATCAGGTGTCTCAAGATGCTTCCAAGTATAGGACCATACTTTGATTCAGCCAAGAAGACTCTGTCTGTGGTCCATTTTTCTTTCATTCAAATTGACCTCAGTAGCCCATCTTATCTTAAATGCTGAGGAATTTAATTTTTGCATAAACAAAGGTTTGCTATAATTTCAATTGTTCTTTGATGACTGGAAGACAAATTCATGTGATTTTTCATGTGCTCGTGTTTCTGTCTGGTCATCTGGTCTCCGTCCAAATGCCTCTTCATTCTGTAGAAGCAAAGGATTGCCACAGAGCACCATTGATCTATATATACGTGTATCTTAAAGGGCAACAAAACACAAGTCCCTCACGACCATCTCAATCTTTTACATCTTCTAAACGTTCAAGAATTTCCTCTTAACTTCCTATTATCAAGAGAAGAAACCCTGCCAGGACCATGGCCATCCATATACCTTATATTATTCATTCGAATAATTTTCTTCGACGGACTTCATCAAGGGGAAATCAATCAGTATTGGATATTCCAAAAGGTCATTTTGCAGTATATGTAGGGGAGGATGAAAAGAAGAGATTCATCATTCCAATATCATACTTGAACCAACCTTCTTTTCAAGATTTGTTAAGTCAAGCTGGAGAAGAATTTGGGTTTGATCATCCAATGGGTGGCCTCACAATCCCCTGTAGCAAGAACGTATTCATTGATGTTACCTCTCAACTTGGCGTAATATGAAATCAGCTACAAGCTTAGTTTAGGTAGAACGCAATTTTATAAAAAAGAGTTGTACATTTTAACCTAGGTAGAGTTGAGAAAAGCTTGAGGAGCAAAATAATATCTTCCCATGACAGAAGCTTTTCTGTTTATCATACAAAACTTGTTACGTGTTTCATGTTATTTCACTTTCTAAAACAGGCAATTTTCTGAATCAAGAAATTTGGTACTTGGTTGGGATTATAGTCCATGTTTTCCAAAGGTAAAATTATATAATTTAAAACAATGCTTAATAATGCAGAAATTATTTTCAAAAATTCAGTAAAATCAAGTTATGAATTTTGTGTGTCATATGGGCTTTTGAAATGTTTGGAATCTGAGAAAGGGTACTGACCTTTTTTCTTGTTATTCTTGAAATAGGCAGATCAAATTCTTGTTTTGAACTTTAATATAGATGTATACATATCTAATTACAGAAGATATCCTTGTCTGTCTGGATTCATCGGGGTTCTTGCAAGGTCTATGTTTCCAGAAGTAATGGGAATGTGGAATGTAAAACATGATCCTAAAATTTCATCAAATCATTAGAAACTTCTTAAAAAATACAAAAAATAGAAATACTTTTTCATAGCACTTCAAAGTCATGAATCATGAATGGTCTATAGAATGCAGTTCATATTGCAAGCTAATGTTTGGCACATTCCATATTACTAATCTTCTTGTCGATGGACAACTTATGAGTTCTGATTATTTGGATTGTAATATTCATTTGAACCTCTAATATGGACTCTAATCCATTTGACCTTGTATTTATTTAGTCAGAGAGACAAGATTGTATTACTGGTGGTCATATTCGTACGTAAATATTTTCTTAACTCTGAATAAACATCATTTTTTATAGAGAATCAGGTCTGCATGTCTATGTCACCTTATATCCTAGAAACGCATAGTGAAACGGATTAAAACAAATGTATACAAAGTTATGTTCGCTTTGTATCTTAATGTTTTGGTTCATTTTGAGTCTCTAGCGTTCAATTGATAAATCTTTATCATTTGTACATCTTTTGGTTTTTGATTTGTTGGGTATGCTCGGTGTACTTGTACAGGAGTTTTGATTAATGAAATTTACATTTATCAATTAAAAAAATATATATTCATTCCAAGAAATTTCTTAGATGGTCTGTTGAGTTTGAAGCACAAAAGAAATTCTCTTTTATTACTAAACAAACTTGTACATTTAATTTTATTAAAAACACACCTTACCACACCACACTAAATTCCACTGAAACAAGCACCTCACTAATTAATTTTATTACTCCACTAACTTGATTAATCTCTCACACACACCACTTGTGTACGTTTGCCTCTCTTTCTCTATCTCTCTTCACAACCACGCACATAAAATGCAGCTGATATATATATATATATATATATAAAAGGAATTCTCGGACTCTAGAATGGTGGTGATGTATGGATTCTTCTAGATTTTCTAGTTGGGTCTGCATGAGGAAAAATCTAGAATGATTTTGGAGCCAAAGTCGGTGACTTCTTCATGGTCTACATTGACGATAAAGCAAACAACATTAGATATTCCGAAAGGTCATCTTGCAGTTTATGTTGAGGAGAATGAAAAAAATAGATTTGTCTTACCTGTATCATACTTAAATCAGCCTTTGTTTCCTGTTAAGTCAAGTAGAGGAAGGATTTGGGTTTGATCGTCCAATGGGTGGCATCACAATCCCATGTAGAATGAATGTATTCATTGATGTCATCGTCTCAGTTTAGTGTAATATGAAATCTTGTGCAGAGAACCATTTTGTAAAGTAGAGTTGTACATTTTTCGCCTAGCAGGAGTTGATAAAACCTTGGGGAGGAAAATAATGTCCTCCTACGAAAGAAAGCTCTCCTCTTTACCTTGCAAAAATGAAGTTATAACATTGCATTTCACTTTCTAAAATATTCAGTTTTCTGAATCAGGAAATTTGGTAATTGGTTGGTATCTCGAATTAAATTATTCTGTATGAATATTTTATACTTGCTCCTTCATTTCCAGTTGAGAGCTATTCAAGAGAATCCTTAATGATTTAGGGGATTTTGTGGGGAGCTGAGGTTCTAGGTCTGCCTTTTGTACAGGGAAATTGGAATTCCACTCAAAAGTAAGCCAAATAATTGTGATTGGAAATATTAATAATGCTGTAAGCCTGTGAGAGGTGTTTGCCGTGTATAAAATATAAATAGAAAATTTCGAGGTGAAAATAGATAATTGAAGAAAATGTTTAATAATGCTTATAATTAAAGTCATCAGTATAGTTTTAAATCAAATTGTATGTGTGTCATGTAGGCTTTTGCAATGACAGGAACTTATAAAGGTCAGAAACCCCCATATGTTGAGTCTTTAAATAGGTTTTTGCAGATCAGTATTTGCAGGACAAATTTCAAATAGCCCCATCGTATGGTTAGTGCATTCAACAATTAGCAAGGTCAATGAGAGAACAATTCTATTAAATAGGTTTCTTATCCGTTCGTTCTAAGTAGACAAATGCAATTTTTGTTTTGATTTTAGATATGGAGGTATACAATTTTAATTACACATGATGTCCTTGTCTGTCTAGTTTCAGAGGGATTTTTTTGAGGCCTATGTTGTTAGAAGTGATGGGAACTTAATATTAGATATTGTCATGAAATTTCTTCAAACGTTTGAAAACCCTTTAAAAAATCAATTATCATATAGGAAACATGCTTTCAAGTTTCTAGCCGATTCCAGTTTACAAAATTTATTTGGTATGCAATATTTACCTTTTAAAAGTTTTTGAATCACTTAAATGACATCAACCATGAATTGTGAATAGCGTGCCAAGTCACTTGACATCTGGACAAGGGACAACCGACTCATTCTGATTTGCATTGAACTTCTTGTATCCTCACTTATTTCATTACTTTCAATCTTTCATTTCATTCTGGAGAAGATTGCATTTCTGTTGGATAAATATTTGTACGTTGCCTCATATCAAGAATCAGGTATTCCTGTCTCTACGTCTTTTTATTGCAGAGAAACAAGTGAACTAAGATGTTTCAACCCTCAACTGTTATGTATTATCCATTGATTTAATCAAGACCTAACTGCTAAACAATAATCATATCTTTGAATTCAAAGCAGTGAGTTTATTGCTTGTATGTTGTTATAAAAGATTGTAGGGACTAATGTTTCAGAATATCAATGCAATGATTTCATTTATATTTTAGGTGGTTATTGAAAGACAGAACCATGTGATCCCTTGTGCTTCCATGGCCTTATCCCTATTCCTCTTCACCATACAATCTGCTATTCATAGGTGACCTTATGTGAAAGGAAAGATTAGGGTCTCTAGCATGCTTATGAGTGTAGACCAGCTTTACTTCTATCAGTACATTTTAAATGTATTTTTTGGGTAGTAGCTTAGCTACTAAATATATTTGCGAGTAAAGAAAAAAGAATAAAAATACAGTGACCACGTCTGTAGTCCTTATTTTTTTCATTCAAACAGAACTCTGCAAGTAATATTATCTTGAATACTAAGGAAATTGATTTTCAACGTAAACACGATTCTGCTACATTTTCAATTATCTTTGATGATTGGAAGACAGATCAATGTGATTTTGCATTTGTTAATGTTTCTGTCTGGTATCTGGTCCCTATCCAATTGCCCCTTCATCACAAATCTTGGGGAGGAAACTAATATCTCCCCATGAAAGAAAGATGTTCTCTCTACCATATAAAATTGAAACTATGTCATACTTCCTCACATTCTTGTATTGTCAAGTTTCTGAATAAAAATTTGGTACTTGGTTGGGATTCTAATCCTTGCATTCCAATTTTTAAGTTACCCTTGAATATTTGCTACTCGCTATTGCTTTTTTCAACCGAGAGTTGTTGAAGAGAATGCTTGATGATTTATGATGTCAATTTAATGGTCCTTAACCCTTCAATTCAATTATATCTCATTTTTCTCAGTATGTATCCCATTCTTCAGCTCTCCACATGCTTTCTTTCTTACACTTGTATAGTGTTCGTATATGTAACACCTTATGTTATCTTTTAATGTCATTATGTTGTGTCAACGATGGAGGTGTCAGTAAAATGATAAATGCCCGTGGGGGGTAATCAGGTGGATTATCTAGTGTGTTTTCCATTAAAGGTTTGGTGGATTTTTAAATGAAGTTGCTGTCTATGAATATTAAAAGGATGGTGTTTCATGAAGTTCCAGCACAGAACATTGTTGTGTGAATGCTCTATTGTCAGGTTATGCTAAGTCTAAATGTGCAGGACAATGGACTATGTTATTTCTTTAAAAAAAATGAACTATATCATTGTTCATGTATAAAGAACATGTGTTTCTACCAAAATAAAAATAGAAAGCAAAATAATTGGCAATATGGGCTCCGTACTTCAGCTTTCCGCATGCTGTCTTTCTTGCACTTTTATAGGTTTGTGTATATAACACCTTATGTTATCCTTTAATATCAAAGATGTTAGTTTCAGTATAGAGATGATATAAAACACCATATGTTATCTTTTAACAAAATTCTATGATCAATGCATTCAACACTTTGCAAACAATTTTATAGAACAAATGTGCTGCTGACCTTGATCTCAGCGGGTATATATTTCTTACTTCCTTTCAATTCATGTATCAGCTTATATAGAGAATTAGGTACGCCTGTCTAAATGCTACCTATTCCAGAAGAACACATGAACTAAGGTGTCTCATCCTTGCACTGATAAGCATTATCCATTGATCGAATCTAGAATTGAACATCTAAACAACTCTAATGTCGTTGACTTACTAATCTAAGTTGTAGGTAAATTGTGCGGATGCAGTTAGTTCTTTGCTTATTAGGCGGTGATTGAAAGACAAAACCATGTGATCCCTTGTGCTGATGTGCTTCTCTTGCCCCAATCCCAATTTTTCTTCACCACACAATTTGTTGTTGAAGATTTAATATCTGCAGTTGTTTATTTTAGGTGCAACTGGTAGTGAAGCTGCTTTGGCATCCCGACAGGTCCAAAATTTGATTAATATTTATGTCTACATTTGTGAACTGAAATATATTTCTCTGTATCACTCAGTGACCTAATTTTGATATGAAAAGATTAGGTGCTCCAAGCATGCTTCTGAGTGTAGGCCAGTTTTTACTTCAATGAAAAATGACTCCATCTGTAGTTCTTTTGTTTAATTCATTTTTTCCTCTGTAGGCCACCTTATATTAATTGCTGAGTAATTTGATTTTCCAACATAAACAAACTTTTGTTGGGTCAATTTTGTTGACGATTGAAAAACAGATCCATGTGATTTCTCATATGCTAATGTTTCTGTCTGTTTGATCTGGTCCCCTTTCAAATGCCTCTTCACCACAAACTTTAGAAGTAAAGGATTGCCACAGAGAGCCATTCATCTATATATAGATATATCTTAGCATCCAAACAAACATAAGTCCTTCACAACAATCTCAGCTTTCACTTGTTACAAACAACTTAGAATCTCCACTAAACTCCCTCGATCGAGTAAGAAAAATCCTGCCTGAACCATGGCCATCCGCATGCTTCGTAATATTCATTCCAAGAATTTTCTTAGATGGTCTTCATTGATGAGAAACCAAACAACGTTAGATATTCCTAAAGGTCATTTTGCTGTTTATGTCGGAGAGGGTGATAAGAAGAGATTCCTTGTTCCAATATCATACTTGAACCAGCCTTTGTTTCAAGATCTGTTAAGTCAAGCTGAGGAAGAATTTGGGTTTGATCATCCAATGGGTGGCCTCACAATCCCCTGTAGCATGGATGTATTCATTGATGTCACTTCTCAATTAAGTGTCATATGAAATCTGCTGCTAGCTTAGTTTGGTTGAGAACAATTTTGTAAAGCAGAGTTGTACATTTTTAACCTAGCTAGAATTGATAAAAGCTTGAGGTGGAAAATCATGCCATCCTATGACACAGTTTTACTGTATACCATAGAAAATAAAGTTATAAACATTTTGTAGGAATAGTCAATTTGCTACTTTTTTGGTAATATAATCCATATATTCCAATTCTCAAATTAAATTATTTTGTAGGAATATTATCTA